AATTCATCGAGGATTACGTTCCCGATTCCTTGATCTAATTTCCAATCTGTTACCAAGATCAAAGTCATCGCGAGACAAGGTTACAGATATTTTTCGCGTTGAGTACGTGTTCCACTAACTCGAATCGTGAACCATAGCACTGTATACAAAATTATTGGTCAAAATTCACTGTCTCCAGCAAGGAAGAGAATATTAGGTAGAGGTAATTTTGGCATTGGGGTTATAGGCATCTCACTCGATCTCCTTGAGTCAACTCGTGTCATGGTCAATTCGCAATGAGTCGGACAACGCTTTTAGCATGGCCGCTTGCGCAATTTATTTCGAGATTTATCGAACAATTCGAGCATTTTCCAAATTACGAATATCTTGATGTCCAACGTTTTGGACACAGATCTTTCTGCCTGTAGATTTTTTAAATAGGAGAATATACTCGTGAAGTACATTTTACAAGAATACGTATCGATTCAAAATACGTATGTAGATCCTTTTTTTCAGTTCTTAATTTTGAGCTGTCGAAAACTGGGCATGCGCGAATCTTTGCGTAAGATCGTCATATCCCATACGATCGTCGGTCCGATTCACTACCATAAAAGGAAAAAGTAGGTAAGGGTCCCAGCGCAGCCTTGACTCATATAGCGTTCATTCGAGTGTGCGTTTACAAGCGTGCTTTTTAAACACCGCAGGTTAAAAGTTAATTAATATGACGTCATCGAGGTATGGAATACACTGATTATCTTATGGCAGCTCGTGTTACACGATACGTAGAAAGGGGTAGACTTCCTACTTTCAAAAGGCGTTACTTGTAGACATTTTTGAAGATGGTGGTTGTCATAATGCGAGATCTAAGCGTTGAATAAATACAATTAAGTCATTTATCATAGAATTTTTTGTGATGAACAAATGGAACCTTGAGATATTAATTAGGATGCTTATTATAACGCAGTTCATTATTTGAACGTGTGTCCTTAGTTAGTACTTACCTTATGCAGGATATATTGCACCGGACGAGGTCGAGGCACCTTCTGTCCTAATTCTACTTCGACATAAGGCTTTATAAGTAAGTTGAGTCACCTTCTCGTTAGGCCCGTGCTTTGTCATACGTTTTAATTTCTTCGATGAAATCGACCAACGAAAACTATTTATACTAAAAGACTTTTCCACCCAAATTGATATAATTTGCATCAAATGCATACATTTGACATAACGAGAATATTTACACAAATTGGAAGTTAAACTATGAAGTTCCTTAGTTCAACTTCCATGTAAATGTAAGATATGTTCTGACGTTTGTGGAAAGGATAACTGAAATAAATTATGAAAGTCTATTAAACAAGTTACTTAATTTATTAACATACATAATTTTTTATCTAATATCGATAACAGGATGGAGGGTATAACTGAGGTCGAGAAGTCATGTTTGCAAATTTTATTGTTACAACAATTATTGCCAGAGAGATTCCATATCCGAGCGAAATCTCCCGAAAAACAGACACACGCGATTTCGGACAACTGTCCCGTGATAAATAAATAGAACGCAACAATAATTTATTCATCCTTATCGTACATCGCCGCGATCGTGCGAGCAACATGAGGTATCGGGACCACGGGGATCCCGAGGGAAATGCAAAGGGTGCACGATCGAGCGTGTGATATAAATGCATCGATGTACACGATAAAGTCCGACATCTACATATGTGTACATATTTATATATAATATATTATATATGTATAAACATACATATACATGTGCACAGGGTGAATCGTTCAATTAAAACGAACCATCTCTGTCTCGATGATTAAAGAGTTTTTCTATGCACTTTTCTCGAAAGATGCAATAAAAAGTGCAACTGCATTTTCTAAATTGAAGTTGTATTTTTTGTGCAATCTTTTATGCAATAAAGAACTTAGCTAATTTAATTAGTGCAACTTTTCGCAGTAGGGGATGCATTTTTAAAAGTGCAGTTGCAACAAAAAAGTGCAATTGCATTTTCTAAACCTGCAGAAAGTTGCATCTTTTTGTGCAATATTTTATGCAATAATAGAATTTAGCTAATTTAATTAATGCAACTTTATACAGTAGGGGATGCATTTTTAAAAGTGCAGTAGCAACAAAAAAGTGAACTGCATTTTCTAAACCTGCAGAAAGTTGCATCTTTTTGTGCAATTTTTTATGCAATAATAGAATTTAGCTAATTTAATTAATGCAACTTTACACAGTAGGGGATGCATTTTTAAAAGTGCAGTGTTGCAACAAAAAAGTGCAACTTCATTTTCCATTTTTTGTACTACAATTTTTAAATGCATTTTTCAAGGGTGAAATGATGCAGTAAAATTGATATGTAATTTTTTGTGTGTCTTTGCTGCACTTTGCAAAAAAGCTTCAATTTTTTTATTTTTAACGAAACAGGAATGAGAGGTTCCAGCTGCATGACTCACCCTGTACATTTTCTTTTTTCTTTTATACATGCACGTAATATCATTTAATAAATATATACAGTAGTAATCCTGTGAACGTCGCGAGAGTCACTTGAATGAGTTCAAGTGCAGCGAGTTCTCGCAAATTGACGTTGATCGCGATTTCGTCTCGAGCCACATCGATACTTCGATGTTCGACGAAACTTCACCCTCCTACGCGAATTTTTTTTCACAAATCAGTTATGCAACGCGTCGAACACCATATTCAAAAGAAAATTGTCATCTTCTACATAATAAACTAAAACAAAAATTTTTTATTTAAAGTTACTATATTTTTATTAAAATTCATTGCATTATAAAATGAAAGATATGCATTCTTTGATTAAATTTTCTTATCACATGAAAATTTTTATCTTTTCTGAATTATTTGATAAATAATTCGGACGAGGTATCTCGCGGCATTCAACGCGTTAAATGATTCAGATCGAACTAACCGATTTTGATTCACCTAATATCTTCTCAACGAGAAATAAAGAACATCGAACGTGACAGTGTGATTAATTTCCGACACCATCACGATCGATGTGAAATCTTAAATAATTTGATTTGTATATATCACGATCACTATACGTTTAAACTAACCATACCGTGAGAACGGTTCTTATATCAAACAATTATCTAAAATAATTTGATTAGTTAATATCCCGTAATCGTTACCCTAATATAGAAAATAAATTGTCGAGAAAGACAGGTTCTTAATTTAAATAATTATCTAAAATAATTTAATTTAATATCCTGTGATTATTATGCAACTATGCTAGTCAGATGGAAAAGTAAATTTTCGAGGAAGACACGTTCTAATTTGTCGATATTCTGTGATCGTTACGCGATTCTCACGAAAGCTTTGTTTTAATTATCATGCAGAGTATTGGACTGAAAACAGTGAACTCATGACTAATCGTAACGCACAGAACATGCTGACATAATATTAATGCTCTGATCTGTGTACACGCATGGCCAAGGAATGAGCAGCAATAACGCGTTATGGACGTGAGAGATAAAAGTGGAAGGAATCCAAGGCGACGATGCCTGCAATCGACGAGCTTCGAGTTCGCGAAATTGTGAGAAAGAAAAATATAGGGAGTCTCATAACTGGTGTCCTTAAGTCACTGAAATGGGGGGTAGCTAACGTGATTCTGAGTAAGATTTCCCTTTGCAGAAATGGGGTTTGAAGCTTCGTTTTTGAATTATTAAAGAAAAACGTGGATCAATCAGAACGTGAGGCTTGCGCGCACTCAACCACTACTCGAAGCTTTCGCTACGCGCTCTGATTGATCTGTTTTTCCTTAATAACTCAAAAACGGAGCTTCAAACCTCATTTCTGCAAAGGGAAATCTTATTCAGAATCACGTCAGCTACCTCCCATTTCAAGGACCTATTGTGAGACACTCTGTTGAAATGGGAGGTAGCTGACGTGATTCTGAATAACATTTCCCTTTGCAAAAATGGGGTTTGAAGCTTCGTTTTTGAATTATTAAAGAAAAACGTGGATCAATCAGAACGTGAGGCTTGCGCGCACTCAACCACTACTCGAAGCTTTCGCTACGCGCTCTGATTGATCTGTTTTTCCTTAATAACTCAAAAACGGAGCTTCAAACCTCATTTCTGCAAAGGGAAATCTTATTCAGAATCACGTCAGCTACCTCCCATTTCAAGGACCTATTGTGAGACACTCTGTATACGAAGTTCACAGTCTTAGAAATATCATGCGTTTAGCGTCGATCGCGTTCGAGACAGAATCCCACAGGGGAGACGGTGCAGCGCAAATAATAGAAAATAAATAATTAAATTGTCTACAATCGACTCGAGACGATTTCTTAGAATCAAATCGTTCCGATGCGATCTTTTATTTGCTAGTACAAAGCGTTCCGAAATATCCTTTCAGAAATCAACTATATAAGAAATTGAATTTTATAGAAAAATAATTTGGACAAAATAAAATATGATAGCGTACGAAATATTTCAAAAATTAAATATGAAATAATAAAATTGAATAGAAGATGGATTTTAATGCTGATACTTTAAAGTGAAATTCAAGATGGAATGGAAGTTTAACTAACTACGACGAAAGATATTTTCGGAACACCCTATAAATACGCCGATAACGCGTACACTTATATGCCTATGTCTTGGACTTACATCAACGTCCTAATTTTCACGTAAATTCCGAGGGGGTAGAAGGATTTCTAAATGCGCCAACTGCAAGGGTTCACAGGCTCCGCAGTCAACTCTCTCTTTCTCTCTCTCGTGCACACAAATTTTCGTACTTTTTCTTTGTATACAATTATCTTCGTTTCGCTTGACTACAGGTGGGTCTGAAATGGGTGCAAATAAAGAAACCAGGATAAGAAAAAAATGTCGATAAAAAAAAGAAAAGGATGTAAAAATAAAGTGCGCCGAGGGTGGAGGGTATAAATTACGTTCTTTTCAATGATCCATCGATCATTTTGAACGTAACACGCACGCACACAGAACAAAGAAATAAAAAGTTTGAGAAGTTACCTTCGTGATAACAGAAACAATCGTAAGAATAATAGTAACTGCTTTATTTAAATAATATCATGGTGATAGTGATAATGATAATCAGAATAGTATCGCCCGAAAGTTGACAGGTTTCGTACAATTGTTTGTATTTCAATGGATGTGTATTTCCGTGTATACAGAAATGGAACGGTTGCATCCTGAGGGAGTGAAGCTAGAATAGACATTTCGAGTAAGCAATTAAAAATAGTCACAGATGCTACACTTTTCTTGGGACAACCGATCCATCTCTTTTAACCCTTTAATAGTACACCTAAAGTCACTTTTATAAAAAGAAATAATTTTATCGTAGTGGAATTGTTTTAAAGACTTCTCGTAGAGAAATGAATTAAAGGGTTAATTTTCGCAATAAATCTTGCAGCGCATTTCCATGTATATTTCATAAGTTTCCAATGGCACTGATAACAATTTCGAAACTTAATCCTGCGAGAAATTGTACAGAATACTGTTGAGTATACACTTTTAGCTCGCAATTTTACGAACCGATTTCTTCGACCTGTTTTCTCGCGACAGAGATATTCGAACAATTTTTCTTAACACCTACGACGATTCAGAAAAAAGCTCGTGAATGTTCGAATTCGCCATCTCTCGTCCCGTCAAGTTCGACTTTTAGATTACAAAATTACACGAGAAGGTGTACACATATTGCTTTTCGTGAATCCTTCGCAAGCCTTTTCCCTTCGGACTTCAACGAAACGATACAACGAAAACGAATTTAAGTCAGTTAAATGACTTAACGCAGTTAAGTAGACACTTAGACGCAAGGCTGATCTACAGTCACGAGAGGATTAAGATCGAAATTATTTATACATTTCGATGTACAACGATCGAGGATTTTCTTGAAAATATTAAAATAAGTGCTCTCACGCGATCACAGATCTCCTTGTCGATCCTGATGTGGATGTATCGTATAACACTGCTGACGAATTTAATTAAAAAGATTCAATATCAACTCTTCAGTAATTCATAACTCTGATTCAATTGCCTGTTTACACCACAGTGTATGCAATGCTACGAATTGCACTACAATACGATTACGAATACAATTATGAATTGTAATGCATAATCTGAATTACGTGACATATCTGAGTTACGTGATCGAATAGACCTGAATTACGTGACCGAGTAATCGAATTTGTAATTAAAATTCGTGTTGTAATTCTACAAGTGCATCTACAATCATGGTTTGGTCAATTCCAAGAACTCTACGCTCTACAGCCCCAACGACGAGGATATAACGAGTCTATTACGTTTCTGATCATAACCCTAAAATTGTCTTTACCTATTTGTGTTATACGATACTGCACGTGTAGTAAACACGTTTCGAAGTTTCACCGATTCTTTGGATCTTCTCACAGCTCCCGGCGTTGGATGCTTAACACCCTTTGCATGTTCCTCAAGATCGAAATGCGGGTCATACTGGCGCGTTTGAAACTCGTTCTCACTTGAGTGTACATCGAAAGGGAAGATCTCTGTTCCAGATCCTTCGCGTTGCCGTTCGTTCGTCTCTGAATTTGAGCACAGAAAAAAGATCAGTTCTCCGATGCTTAAACGTGCTGCGTCCTTTTTTTAGTGGGATAATTCGGTGGACGAAACGTGCCTTTTCGGAGGTGGTTCGACTGAAAGCGATTAGTTGGGCGAAGATCGAGGGTACATGTGCTTGTGAGAACACACAAACGGAACGAGAACAATGAAGAACACAGAGTTTGACCGAGTTAATTGGGGGGGAAGGGTCAACTCTTTTCGGTCAGTTTTAAAAATGAATTTTTTAAAATTATTTCTAGCAAGATAATTACTTGGTGGACATAGAGTATCGTTTTATTAATAATGTGGAGGTCGATGTATAAATAGTCAAAATGATTTGGGGAATTGTCTGACCGAAAAGTGTTAATTGTGAAGTTTAAGTTCGGTTTAAGTACACACGAAATAACACAGAACGAAACACTGTGATGCTTGACCCTTTGCCTTGGATATTCTATTCTCACCACTTTATAATTTGAGAAAGAAATAAATATTTAATGACCCTACATGACATTCTAATATTTTTAAGTACAGAGATCAAATGTGAGCATCACAAGATTTAGAACCAAAATTCTAATTTACCTCGACGTTCAATTTGTACAAGATGAATGTTTCTAAAAAATAAAACTTAAAGTTAATTCATAAAAATGAAATAATAATGTGACATGTAACGTGTTAATTCTATGAAACTAGTGGTGCAAAGGCAAAGGATTAGCATCAAAGTCAGGAACGTAAAAAAGCGACGGATCTTCGATGGTCCAAAGAATTGTAAGAATCTCGATCCCAATTTTAATTTCATCTTAATCCTCCCTGAACATCTAGTCGGAGAATGCCTCAAGCATTGAAATCACTCGCAAAATTCGAACGTACTTGCGATATGTTTGTTAAAAAAATATCACACTTTCAAGATCGCTAATGAACCGTTACTGTCTTTCCGTACAATGGCTACGATATAACAATAATGATAATACACATGGTACTCCGGAAGAGTATCGAGTTAACAAAGCTACGAGTTTTATCAAGCTTCTTTTCTTCTCTCTTCTCTCGGCTCGTCCGTGATTTTATAAAATTTTGCAAATTAAGGAAACATCGCTGTTACAACGCTAAGTTACAACTTCAGCTAAATTCGCGGAAGAAATAAAAATGATGAAAAATATAAAAATAAAGATAGAGAGCTATGAAAAATATTTTGTAGAACACGGATCGATAACCGAGATGCGACTAGATTTTTATAATCACCGTTCCTAGATACAATATATCGACTGTCGAAAGCGTTTCATCGAGGACAATATAATTATATGTGTATATATATACGTGTGTGTGTATGTGTAATTGAACAACATTTTGGTTTTTCAAAACGTTCACGATAACTCTCACGCCTATAATCAGCAACGCGTTTACATATTTCTTTGCTCTGCGACTACTGTATATATGTATATATAAACTTTTGTTCATTCATATATATATACGTACACGGTACCAACCAGAATTCCGTCAATCACTCTTGATCGTCGTATCACGTATAATACAATTTGCGCCAGTTGTTATATTTATAACATACGTCGGCCGATGAATTCTGAACGACTTTCATTTAATTGCTTTAACAATTGACATTGAATATTCGAAAAATATTTTTCGAACAAAAAATAATTTTATTTAACTATAAGTTTATAGGTAGGTGAAATAACCCTGAGAACTTATGAAAATAAATTTCGAAATTTAGGAATTGAGTAATTTGATCTAAAATTTGAAGTATTAAGATTCTACATTTGAATATTAAAATATTGAATGGTTTTGTGTAACTTAAGTTCAAGAATTCAAAGGCCAGAAATATGCGGTATACACGTTCGTATGTGTACATATGTATAAGTATATGTATAATTACGTACAGAAGACAGAGAGAACGTGAGACACATATAGATACATGTACACGATTGTTAAGCTATATCGTAATAAAAACGGGACTGATGGTTGCACCCTAACGGGGATCGTAATTATTTACATCTATAATTCTTTTACACCTTAGACCCCTCTTTATGACGCGTACAATTAGCCGACAATAACAAGAGGTAATCGTTAATTACGATAAGAGGTAACGAGTGATTAAATAGTTAACGACGCTTTGTCGTGCAATTGAAACCCGTACGATTTCTTAAATGCCAATGATTCGATGACGATTGTTTCACAGCGGGAGGGAAAATCAAGAGAATTAATATAGAAAAAATCATAAAAAATCTAATTTCAAATGTTCAGGCTCTTGAGTGTCGAGTATTATAGTTCGCTAATACTGTAGGCCGAGTTTTATCACGATGTATGAGCTTCTTGGCCTTCTTGCACCTGAATTAAACTCATGTACCTTAAATTAATCCCTTGCACTCGTAATAGTTTCAACTCCCTTTTGTATAGAATAAATAATTACTTTATCACAATTTTCCCTAATTTAGAAACACCTAAAATGGGTCCCCATTTTCTCCAAAAACTATTATTTGAATTTTTGTAAACAAAATCCACTACCCATTATCATTCCACAAGTTATCACAGCAAAAACAAAGTAACGTCTAAAAAATAAATGACTTATTATTATCGGTCTATCATTATTTAATAAAAATAACGACAGATCAGTATCACATAAAATCACTTTATGATAACCGAGAGTGGATACGAGTGCAAAGGCTTAATTGATTAATACTCGATTAACTTCTGAATCGAGACGAATCTAATACTTAAAAGGTATCACTTAAGTACCGACTTGAGTACAATAAAAATAGAAAAAGAAAGAGAAAGGAATGATAAACGGAGACTCGTCCCGATTCGTGACCAAGTCACCCTGTATCTATTCTTCTTCTTTTCACACTCAGCATCAGTGATGATTGCTCAATTATTTTTGTTATATTTTCGGATTTTATTCGAAGATTCGTCGCTACGACGGAGCAGGCCACATCCGACGACGGAAGTTAGGGGGACGAGTTGTGCATTCACTCTTGCTGCAGTATCTCCTGATTTGAGGAAATAGAGAAACCGTTCAGACAGTCTGATCTCATCGCACAGAACGTTTCAAAGCTCGTTTCAAGCTTTCTCTTGAAAAATTTCAAGGTTGGCAAATTTCAGCTTCCTCATTTTCAGGAAGATTAAATTTCATTTTACAGAAGTGAATTTTCAAAAATATTGAAATTTAAATCTCAAGAAGAAATCCCACTTACAGGGAGGTTCAAATTTGATACTCATGATTCAAATCTAATTTGAAAAATTACTCAAAAAGACCCTAAGAAGCTTGATAAAAACACTAGTACCTATTACTAAATTTAGGCTGTTTAAAAAATTCATCTGTCAGTTTTTATTTACAAAGTATACAGGGTGTTTCACAACTGAAACTCAGTGTCTCAGTTGTGAACCACCCTGTATATTTTTTGAGCCAACAGGTGAATCACAAAAGAATTTAAAGCTCGCATACCCGTTATTATCGGTCTAACCTTCCGTCCAAAAATGGAAATCCAGCAATATTAAAAAAAAGACACTTCATTACGTGGCAGACATTTCTGCCTGTCGGGAGGATCGTTTGAAATGCTTCGCTAGAGCCGAAGAATTCTCAACGCGAGAGCAATACTGGGTTAATATGGAATTACCTCGGCATTCTTTCGCGTGTTGCAAGCCTCTAGCTCTCGTTTACTTCTTCAAAAATGCACGCACTGGCAAACGCGAGAAATTACGCTGAGTCGAACCGTGCTCGTTGCAAGTTCTACGGAGGCATGCAGAAATTCGAGGATGCGTTCGACCTGTCGTAATGACGGGTTCGTTTATTACTGATCAGTGATTCGACAAACATTGCCTTTTTGTTGCGTCATTCAGTCGGGAACTTTGATGAAATTCAAGTTTTTCAATTGACAAAGTTTGGAAGTTTTTGAATTTTTTAGTTGTGTAATTTTGGAGATCTTGGGTGACTAAGTTGGCAGATGTTTGAACTGTAAGATTTTTAAATTTGCGGAGTTCTAAGTCTTCAAGTATGTAAATTTCCTAATGTCTAAATCCTTGAAGTTTTATATTTTTAGAATCTCTGAATCTCAAAATCTTTAAGTTTCCAAAGTTCTGAATCTGCAAATTTCTGAACCCCCAAATCTGTAAATTTTTATGTCTCTGAACCTCCAAATCCCTAAATCTTCAGATCTCTGAATCACCAAATCTCTGAACCCCCAATTTTCCAAATGTTTAAATCTCTGAATCCCTAAATCTCCAAATCTCTGAATCCCCAAATCTCTGAACCCCTAAATTTCCAAATCTCTGAATCCCCAAATCTCAGAATCTCCAAATCTCTGAATCCCCAAATTTCCAAATCTCTGAATCCCCAAATCTCCAAATCTCTGAATCTCCAAATCTCTAAACTCCCAAATCTCCAAATCTCTGAACCCCTAAATTTCCAAATCTCTGAACCCCCAAATCTCTGAATCTCCAAATCTCTAACCCCCAAATTTCCAAATCTCTGAATCCTCAAATCTCCAAACCTCTGAACCCCTAAATTTCCAAATCCCCAAATCTCAAATCTCCAACCATTAAATCTCTGAACCCCCAAATCTTCAGATCCCCAAATCCCCAATTCTCCAACCCCCAAATTTCCAAATCAAATTCCCAAACTCCACAAGCCCCAATAACACAACACCCAAAAAGAACCATTGTTCCTCGAACCACCGTCATCTCATGCAACTTCTACAAACTTCCTCATAAAAGAAGATCAAGATCACAAAAAATATCAAAATATCGAATCTAGAATCGGTGCAAGAAAGGATTTCCATGCATTCGCTTCAAAAGATCCTCGGGGTAGAATCATCCACAATATTTTACAAAGAACAATGTTTGCTTTGGAACGTTCTGTGCGTCACTGAATCGGCGTTTCTTCGTGGATTCCGACACAACATGGACATAGAAGACGATTCTGACAGGAACTGACTTTCCTGTTCTAGAGGACGATGTGACGACTCGCTATAAGTCTGGGGCTGTTTATTAGTTACAAAAACCCTCGGCCACTCGGAGAAACACTTACATGGTCCGATCGATCGGTTACGGATACACTTACCACCTTGAAGAATCGGTCGACAGAGGTACCGTCGCAAATGGAGATCGTGAACTTGATCGATACTGCCGTTTAATCGGCTTATGTACTATCTACGATGTAGATCAAGGAAAACGTAGACTACCTACATTGTAGATTCTACAAAATGTCTAACTGGAATTACAGGGTGTCAAATGATTTACAGGGGGTCTTCAGGAATTACAGGATGTAAAATGATTTACAGGACATAAAATTGTGAACATCTGGTATTTTAGTCTGTAACATCTCTGTTCATTTTACTTATTAATTATGCGATAATAATGTGTACACATCAGATGTATACACACGGGATTCACATTATTTGGACAACTTCGAGTGAATAGTTACGTACACATTGATTAAAAGCAGAATGAAAATTGTAAATTCTCGGTGGAAATTTATCATTCTGACTGAACAGCTGACGTGTGGACACATGTAGCAAGCGAATAACAGGGCATTCACAAGAAGCCACAGGTTATATGCAGAATGGTAAATGATGTACTCCTTCCTTTGTTACAGAACTTATTATTTTAATAGTATATATGTTTTTGAGACACCCTGTATATCCTCCAGTTATGAATAGCTATGTCAAACATGTAGTTCATTACTTAATAAAAATAATGCTACATGAAGTATATTATTTCATAAGTTAGCGCTTCACGAGTAGAATGAAGTATGGCACTCCTATTTCACAGGCTTAATGAACTATAACATTTTCTCCACACTACAGACTAACTGAAGCATGACACATACTTCACGGATTAAATGAAGTATGACATTTCGTTATTAAATGAAGTCTTTTTGCTTCACGAGTTAAACGAAGCATATTTTCCTGCTTCACAAGTTAAACGAAGCATATTTTCCTGCTTCACAAGTTAAAGTACCTTCACAAGTTAAAGTATCTTCACAAGTTGAAGTGTCTTCTTGCTGATTAATCTTCACATTGCGACGATACCTCCTCGAGTAACCGATCGTTAAAAACTAAGATTACCAACTTACCATTTCGGTAGTGAGACTGGCTAACGCCTCTTCGACGGTGGCTGCAATCCTCCCTCCGTCGTCCTGACGCTGACTACCCCTGATCGGTGTCGTCGGGCAACCTAAAATTATCGTTAATCGTCATAGTGCTAGGATCAGATCAGCCAGTCAGTCACAGGAGCCCCGATACGCGTTTGCCTAGTGTTACAGTGTTCTATGGAATAGAAACTTCAAACTGAATGCAAGTGGCTCGATAGGACCACTTTTCTTCATTTTTCAGAAGCTTTATACAAGGTGCGTGTGATGCTTATGTCCGTTTCGTGAGTCTGATGCAGTGGTCCCTTCGAGAGGTCGAAGTTTCAAGACACGTAACCCTCTCGATACTTTGGGGTAGGCTCACGGAGCTTTTGTGCTTTTGGTATTTTGCTGAGTGGGTATTTGGACATTTGGAGACTTGGAAGGGGACTTGGAAGGGGACTTGGAAGGGGACTTGGAGGTTTTGGGATTTGGGAACTTGGGATTTGGGGGGCTAGGGACTAGAAAATATTGAAATTTGAGAGCTTGAGATTTGGGGGGTTAGGGACTAGAAAATATTGAAATTTGGAAGCTTGAGATTTGGTGGGTTAGGGATTTGGAAATATAGAAATTTGGGAGCTTGGGATTTGGGGAGTTAGGGACTAGGAAATATTGAAATTTGAGAGCTTGAGATTTGGGGGGTTAGGGACTAGAAAATATTGAAATTTGGAAGCTTGAGATTTGGTGGGTTAGGGATTTGGAAATATAGAAATTTGGGAGCTTGGGATTTGGGGGGCTAGGGACTAGAAAATATTGAAATTTGAGAGCTTGAGATTTGGGGGGTTGGAGAATAGGAAATATTGAAATTTGAGAGCTTGAGATTTGGGGGGTTAGGGATTTGGAAATATAGAAATTTGGGAGTTTGGGATTTGGGGAGTTAGGGACTAGGAAATATTGAAATTTGGGAGCTTGAGATTTGGGGGGTTGGAGACTAGGAAATATTGAAATTTGGAAGCTTGAAATTTGGGGGGTTAGGGATTTGGAAATATAGAAATTTGAGAGCTTGGGATTTGGTGGGTTAGGGATTTGGAAATATAGAAATTTGGGAGCTTGGGATTTGGGGTGTTGGAGACTAGGAAATATAGAAATTTGAAAGCTTGAAATTTGGGGGTTTGGGAACTTGGAAATACTGAAATTTGGGAGTTTAGGGACTAGAAAATATTAAAATTCGAAAATGTGAGATTTGTGGATCTAGGAACTAGAGAACAGAAATTTGCATAGAGTCACCACACATTATGACCACATACCCTCCTCTTCCCACAAACCCAATTCCAATTTTGATTCCCCATTCCACCCATGTCAATACAAGTCCCCCAACACGTTTACTACACATATCCACGTGTATAGCACCGAAAGGGTTACCAAAAATAGAAAAAGCGTGCATCCTACAAATTGATATCTACAAGTGTGAAGAAGCTACGTGTGACTAATACTTGAGCAGTGTATAGCAAATAGAGTAAGAAAAAGAGAAAATAATTGAAACTTATCTCGAAACGCATCTAGACGATGCCCACCGTTGGTTATTTTTGCGAAGAAACCATAAAAGTAGAGAACGTGTACATGGGGATTCAATGAGACCGAGATCTCGTGTTTTTGTAATGCTCGCTTTATTGTCGTTCTCGTAATCGAGAAGAAAAATGTTTTCGAGTATGTTTTGACAAGATTGTTGGGTCACCTAGACAGGGCTAAGAAATTGTCGTATCGATTGTACTTGTCAATGAACAATTAATTGAGCGTATTGTTATTATGTAATTAAGCATCGAAGGTACTCGTCAATGTCTTCTTACAATATTTTAATTATAATTTCGTTGTTTGGAAATTGTGACGAGCACCTTCGTACACGACAGAAACAAGTATAGTGTCATTTGTTCATGTATTGGTTGAAGGATTTAAGAGCATTTTCTTGTAATCACTTATCGATAATATCCTCGACATGTTACTTAAAACACATAGACGATAAGAGTCAATTTAGGCACTGAGTTACCCTAATGCACTTGCTTCCATTTTTTTTTCTAACTTCAACTATCGCACGATTCACTCGACACAATCTGACAAACAAATAAATAGCACCTAATACAACACAATCTCCCACGTACAAACTAGCGTTATCACAAAGTAAATCGTGGTGAAAGATCTGAATTTGCTCTAAATCCACTCACTTCTTCAAGTATTAGGTCATGTGGCGAACTTCACAAATGAAACGTACACTTTCACGTTTGGATATTGGTTCGAAAAGATAATTTTCAATCATCAAACGCTATGTAATCATATTAACAATCATGTTACACATGTGGACATCGAAGTTGGTAACATCACTACATTCAGACCTGGACCCTCTGATCTGCTTTTGAAATTTGTACTACATCGAATTTTAACAAACTGTGACTCCAGAAGATAAATGACCCTCATACTTTTTTGTGAATTGACAAAAGTGAAAGTATATTTTGATTAAACTTTTCCCAAAAGAGTGAAAGAAGTTTCCGTTTGTCAAGCTCGAATGACCTAATATATGACAGTATAATTAGTATACACAATGTTAGGTATTCGATCGTTTGGTGTCTGTGAGTCACGATTACAGGATTCTTATAATCGATTAGTCTGCGGAATGCATTCGAGTCAGCACTAACTACAGCGTGAGCTACGTATCATTTTTACACATTTATTACAAAGGAGGATACTTCATTTTTTGTTATAAACAGCAGAGATTATATTTCCGTCTACGTACAAACGGTTTAATAACCCTCGGTGCTCGAACTACTCGGGTTACGATGACCGAGAAACGATCGCTCGCTTCCGAACACTACCTTAACATCGTGGCACGTTAATCAGACTTCCGGTTGCTGGCGCAAGCGTCACGTTGATTGCCCGCCTCTTTGTACACACGAAAGTTTACATCGTTATCTTGTTCAAATTAAGTGATAAACCATTTACTCAACGAAACCTCAATTGGTCGCTCAAAATGATTTAACATGCTATTTCGTATAGTAGGGTTTTTTGCGACTCTACTGGACGGTGTTCTCAGCGTAAGCCGTGGTAAACCGTGTATCGCCTTCATGGCGACTAAATTAGGGAAGCATGGTGCGACTAGTCGATTACCAAAGCATTCATCTCAGTAAAGAATCGTAGTTCTATACTTTTAACTATTTCTGTATTTGGAAACATATACACTGGAGGTAGCAATTAGGTCACATTATAGAATTTTGATTGTATAATATTGACACGGAGTTCGAGCTATGACGGACAACAGGGAGTCACCATTAAATCTCTTATGGTTTCGAGATAAATCAGAAAAGTATACAAGTAGAAAGGAAAATCTTTTATACAATCAAATTAAAAAGTCCAGCAGTGTACTAGAAGAGAAAGCCAGCTATCTCAGCAGGATAAAAGGAGACCTCTACTCTACATCTTAAGGATCTGATATACAGAGTGTCTCAAGAAATGTACCCTCGCTCACATGTACTCAACTTCAAGGTATATCAATCAATAATGTATATTTTACAGTATATTTTACAAGTCTAGAGTATATTTTTCGGAACACCCTGTACATAGAATTAAACAGACGGTTAACTGAGACCCTTCACCAGAAAGTAAAGCAAGAGGGCAATCAACGAGACGATCACGCCGGACGCAAATCCTTTCGTTATAAAGGTCGAAGAAGAATCGAAGGAAGGAATCCTCGAGGCGCGTAGCAGGACCCTTCAGGAGTTGTAGTAGATGCAGAGCGCGTAGGGGAACTTACCTGCGTCACCGCTGCTGGAGCTTTCGGTAAAGGACGGGGTTCCCTCTGTCCAGGTCGGTGTCGAGCCTTCTGCACTGCCTGCAGGAGGTGTCCATGTCAGACCACCACCTCCTCGACTGCTTCCACCGCTTTCCACGCTCAACGACGACTTCGTTTCCCTTCCGCCACTGCCGCTTCCGCTGCCGCTGCTCTCTAAGTGCACGTCGGATATGCTGAAATGAGGATCAACTTTTTAGTTTCTTTAGAATTCTTTGGCTCATGTGTTTAACACAACGAGATATGGATATACATGTCAAGATTGTTTGACATTGTGTACACATGTCGACATGTGTAGCTAAAACATATGTTAACATATGTCCACATATGTTGTCGAAATTCTTATACGAAGATATGTTGATGTCAACTTCTTGGGTGACCTTCAGATATGTTCACATATGTTGACACATGTTCACATATGTTATCGAAATTTTTATACAAAGATATGTCGATGTCAACTTCTTGGGTGACCTTCATATATGTTCACATATGTTGACATATGTTTACATATGTTATTGAAATTTTTATACAAAGATATGTCGATGTCAACTTCTTGGGTGACCTTCATATATGTTCACATACGTTGACACATGTTCACATATGTTGTCGATATTCTTACACGAAGATATGTTGATGTCAACTTCTTGGGTGATCTTCAGATGTTAACTATTGCAACTTGTTTATTAAAAAATTATACAAGAAAACACACCTATGATAACATACAATTACATACAAGTACAGTGACACATGTGAAGAATATTATACAAAATAACCTAGTCTAACTTGTCCTTAAATTAAACTCAAAATACAGTAGTATAATTTATCCCAAAAATCAAGTTATTTCAAGAGATTTGTATGAATATTTCAAGAGGGTTATTCAATTTTTCATTCATTAAAGTTGGACATCAAGTTTACTGTAAAGCAGATAATCTTTCACGTTCCACATAGGATGATTGATAACCGTGTAAACGATATCTCGTTGTTCCGTTAAACACAGTGATTATCGATCACTCGATTAGAGAGGATTACTCACCTTACAGCGTCGTGATAAGTTTTTGTGAGAGTGACGTGGTGAACGACCTTGTTCTGCTTGGATTGAGCGCTGCTCAGACTGCTCGTTAAGATTGTGGTCGTTGCACCATGTTGAAGTTGACCACCGGAAGCCAGAGTTTGGTCGTTTGAGCGCACTGCATCGTCAAAGGGCGGGGGCGGGGTGGAACAAGTGGAAGGAAGGGTGCCACCTACAAAAAGCGCACTACAATTAGCCCTAATGAACACGATATGTGCTTGCTTTGTCATCGGGGGCTCTAAGGGGTAGGTTCACTCGTTAGCGTTAGGGTCTTGATAAACACCGAAAAGTTTCCTACTGTTTTTGGCGATTTGATCGTAGTACTCTCGTTATAGTGCCACGGGGTAGTTCTTGAAATTGGCGATATAGAGAGGGGACGCATAGATGTACAACGCGTAGAGAATTAACGCTTTGGGAATTTGACGATTTGGAAATTTGGGGACTCTAGAATTCGGGAATTTGTGGATTCGGAAATTTAGAGTGAGGAGATGCGTGGGTGTACAATGCGTGGATATATAATGCGTAGAGAATTATCGTTTTGAGAATTTGGTAATTTGGAAATTCGGGGACTTTAGAATTTGGGAATTTGTGGATTCGGAAATTTAGAGAGAGGGAACGCATGGGTGTACAATGCGTAGAGAACGAACGCTTTGTGAATTTGGTGATTTGGAAATTCGGGGACTTTAGATTTCGGGAATTTGTGGATTCGGAAATTTAGAGAGAGGCAACGCATAGGTGTACAATGCGTGGATGTGCAATGCGTGGATGTACAATGCGTAGAGAACTGACGCTTTGAGAATTTGGTAATTTGGAAATTCGGGGACTTTAGAATTCGGGAATTTGTGGATTCGGAAATTTAGAGTGAGGAGATGCGTGGGTGTACAATGCGTAGAGAACTGACGCTCTGAGAATTTGGTAATTTGGAAATTCGGGAATTTGTGGATTCGGAAATTTAGAGAGAGGGAACGCATAGGTGTACAATGCGTGGGTGTACAATGCGTGGATGTACAATGCGCAGAGAATTACCGTTTTGGGAATTCACTGATTTGGAAATTCGGAGACTTTAGAATTCAAAAATTTGTGGATTCGGAAATTTAGAGAGAAGGAACGCATGGGTGTACAATGCGTAGAGAACTACCGCTTTGAAAATTTGGTAATTTGTAAATTTTGGGACTTTAGGATTTGGGAAGTTGTGGGTTCAGAAATTTAGAATTTGTAAATTTAGGGATTTCAAATTTTGGGAACTTGAAACTTTGAGGTTCCTAAATAAAAAATGTCAGAACTCAAAAATTTAAAGTCTGCAACTAAGTTACGTTTGCGTCTACTCGGTTCCTGCAAGATTGTCTAAAAACGGCAATATAACGAGAGTCTCCTATAGCAAAGTAGTGAGTGCTAAAAAATGTAATCAAATATTTAGTAACGAACATGTGTATTTTCCGTACTAATATGAATATTTTAACGCGTTAAAGGGTAAATCTAGAAACTGTCAATATTTTTGTACTCAACTGGAAAATGGGTACTAATATTTCTACTATGTTACCGATTACACTAAGCATTTCTACCGTTTTCCAAACTATAGTTACGGTTTGTTAAAACTAGTAAGAGGGACCTGTCTGGTACAAAACAAATATAAGTTGGAGACCTAGATAATAGGATTAAAACGTTAGAAAGTGAACAGCACTTCCTATTGAAGTCAGTCCGAATAAGCCATTCTAATACCACGCGTGACACAACTACGTCTAACAAACTTGCGGTGTCTACATAAGCGCACAAACAGCAAAACTACATAGGCCAGCAACTCGTCACAAAGCAAATTCTACGCTCGAATAAGGTATTTTAACGAGAACACTCGTGTGAACGTCCCTTTATTTGTGGTACAGAGAGCACACCATACAAACACACCGGTGAGGTTTTAAAACAGATGTAGAATTTCTCTTTTTAACAGAGAGAACGATCTGCGAAAACCTGAAACGATTTTTTTTGTCTTCCTTTTTTTAATTACTTTTGGAAAGCGTTCAAAATTGTCAAGCCTTGTTACAAAATTTTACGGAGTTTCTTGAAAATTTCGAACCCTATTTCTATGAACGCCATACTGTTTCGGTTCGAACGTGTCGCTCCTATTCTCTGTCCTATGAAGAATAGATCGCTACGCATGCAGGAACACAGTCTCGGATCGAAAAAACCAAATCCTTACACACTACTGTCATAGAAAATCATGGGTCACTTCTGCGTGCCGAGTTTGAGGTACCTCGTCGACGCCATAACAGCGACGTTGTGATACGGCATCGCAGAATACGATAAAAAAAGAAACACAGTGCACCCATCAATTACTGGTAGAAAATACGTATATAACATCGAACTACTTCTTCTTTTTCACAGAAGTAAAAATAGTGGGACAAAAATCGGTTTCAATAGGTCGTCAGGAAATAGATGTTACAAACTGACACACGTGAGATCGAGTAATGAGATGAGAGAGAACAGAGTATAGTGTGTGTAATTGCGCATGCAGGGAAAAGTATGTTCTTTGTCCTTTATCGTTCAATTTCCAGCCTCTTCTTCTATTTCACGTATTTTATATTCATCTTCTTGGCTATCTTTGGTCCCTTCTCCACAGATGAAGACATTTCCATTTGATTCGCAAATTTAAAATAAAATTCAAGGAACATCTTGTCAGATTTTGATGTCGACATTTCACCGACTATTCTACGTAAAGGCACCTGTTCTTTTCTTTTTAAAATCTTTCAGGAGATTTTCTGTAGCCATGCAAGAACGACGAGTTCGCTACAGAATCACTGGAAGAAGTTTTCCGAAGGTCTCCCTTCAATTTGTCATTCACAGGTTTCAACATTTTAGATTTATTTTTCTTTATCTGCTCCAGAAATTCCGAGTTCAATTTTGCACGATTTTTAAGTACTTCGTCAATAGATTTTGACGATGCGGATTTATCATCGTTCTTCTTTGAATCGACTTCTGTTTTGGAAGAATAAACCACTTCAACGCTCTTACTCTTTGTTGTGCTCTTTTCATCAACTTTGGTAACTAGGAAGAGTCTTTTATCAGTTTTGAGAACCTGGTGATCTGTGTTTTCTTGGGTTCTTACGTCACTTGTGGACTTTGTTAGACGTTCACTTTTTATATTGGGCCCTGAAGATGAAAATAATTTCTCCATTTTTTTGGAATCATCAACCTTTTTGAGAAGCTTGTCATCACTCTTTTGTCGAACCTTATCATCAACCTTCTTCTGAGTGTCATCAGTCTTTTTCAGAATTTTATCATCAACCCTTTCTTGCATTTTATCATCAGTCTTTTTTAGAATCTTGTCATCAACTTTTTTCAGAATCTTGTCATCAACTTTTCTCAGAACGTTGTTATCAACTTTTCTCAGAACGTTGTCATCAACATTTTTCTGTGTCTTGTCATCAACTTTTCTCAGAACATTATCATCAACCTTTTTCACAATCTTCTCATCAATCTTTTTCACAATCTTCTCATCAACTTTTTTCACAATCTTCTCATCAGCTTTTTTCACAATCTTATCAACTTCCTTCTGAATCTTATCATCAAATTTCTTCTGAACTTCATCATCAAATTTCTTCTGAATCTTATCATCAATTTTCCTAAGTTTATAATCGTCCACTTTCTTAAGTGCCCCAAGCGTGTGCACTTTCGAAGGTTCAGGAGCCAGCTTCTTCCTCCTCTGAGCGCTCTTTTCCTTGATCTTCCTCAACAATCGACTATCTCTCCTATTCTCCACAAGCTTCAGCACATCAATCTTCCTTGTTTCCTGTTTCTCAATCGCTTTCTCCGCCCTAGAGCCTTCGAACTTCTTCCTATCATCTGCAAGCTTCCTCTCGCGCTCGGGTTCCGACTTCCTAGTCAACGCGGTGATCGTATTAATCGAGGCCTCCAGTTCCTTCTGTTTCCTCTTCATCCTCTCGTAATAAGTCTCCGAGTGTTTCTTGTCCTTCCTAGACATTTTATAGTTCATCAACTCGGGTCTGGACTGTGGGTTCAGGAAGTACGTGAACTTAGCCAAATGCTGTGCCCTCGGATTCTGTTCCTCCACGACCGGGGTATCTGGATAGACTCTGGCCCTAGGGTGCATGAAGTTGCCCCGTTCGGGTCTGAAGGGGTACGGACTAGTTCTGATCACATAGGAGCCGTTCACCTTCTCCACGCTGACGAACTCCTCTTCGTCGTCGAACACGTCCGACCAATCGTCCCAACGATTCGTTCGCTCCTCGCGGATGTTGTCGAAGGCTCTGGGGATCCTGGATCGATCGAGCATCGACGGGTCGTATCGCGGCGGCAGGTGGGCAGGGGTCGACGTAGAGGCATGCAACGCGCCGGTGTTGTCAGCGGTGGATGTACGGTGGGTGGTGATGTTAAAGTTAGAGTCAGAGTGACGGTTAGCGGTGATAGCGTTCGCGGTGAACGAGGTAGTCGCAGCGACGGAGAAGACAGAGGTAGTAGAGGCAGAGTTAGTAGGCCGTCGTAGCGCGGCAGAAGTAGAAATGTAATCGGGTGAAGAAGGAGGGTGGTGCAGGATGCTCGAACTGTCATGCAAGCGGTATCTCGTGATTATGGCTGCTTCGTCACCTCGGCTGGATGCGATCGAGGTCGTCGAGAGTGTGGCCGTTGTTCCGGGACCACGGTGCTCCTCC